TGCGTAATAAGCATTTGACTATACGATAATTAAATTCAGTCTACGCTATCAGAATCACTTGCGACCTCAAAAATTTTGTTTGCGCTTTTTTTGACATGCTGTATCAAACAGGCAGCCCTGCTCTTGAGATTATTCAAAAGGATTTGCGTTATCGTCATATTAAAAGCTGAACCTTATAATATGATTTGGTCATTTATTTTTGCTTTAGCTTGGCTGAGGTGAGGAAAAATCTGAACTCAGCATTTCGATTATAACATATTTTATCAGCATAGAAGAGTTTTGAACCACCAGGAGGCAGTATATGATCAAAGTTAGTGAAAGAACTCTTAAGGTGTAGGATTTTTATTAACATATGTACTAAGCGTGGTTATATTCTGTTTATAATTTCAAGAATAATTTTGCCTCTGAGAGCTTAACTGAAAGTCTTTAACAACAGCATGTCCCATGATATGCTTCAAGGTTAACACCAAATGCGCTCTCGTGGTAAGCACAAAATTTCACCGATCCCGCATTACATCTTACAGCGTAAAATGAGAGGGCTACGATCAGCTAGAATAGGTAGCTACCATAGAGGTAGGAAAACACAAATGCATTCTATCTGGAGTGGTAGTAATTTAACCACCTTGGAGTTAACGGTAGTCAATCACTCCCAGTCAACGTCCAGTTTCATTTGTGAGGACCTGACTGTGAGTTAACTGTCAATTATATAAAGAAATTCTGGTCGCAAATCCATGTGACCTCAGCAAAGTTGAACAGGCGATGGTTAATTCCTTACGCTGTTGCCTATACCACTAAACTACAAAGCATAATAACTCCGTCTTCTAAATCTCTATTAAGAGAGAATGGGATAATTTATTGCGTGTGTGATAATTTGAACGTGTATGCACATACCAGGCGATATTAGTGTCAATATCTCTCAAGCTGACCTGAAATTCGAAGCTAACTCGCAGTTGAGCGCCAACTTAGCGGCAGCCAAGAAATGAAATGACGAGTTAATCCGAGTTACAACGGTAAGGTGAGATAGTGTTGTTTGGAGTAGAGATACAGCTATAGCAGTACTTCATTTCATGAAGACTTTATTGAACTTTTTGATGATATGATCGCTGTTAT